TCGTCGCGCTGTGATGACGTCAAATGTGCGCTTTCGTCGAGCGCGATTTTCTCCTCCGTGATTTTGTGGTGGAACCGGATTGAACTCACAGCCTCCTGGTTATGAGGCAAGAACTCCACCTTTAAGCCACCGCACCACTTTCTTGCCACCCTAATAATGTTCTGAAAATCTTTAACAACTTCACTGTTCTCCCAAGCTTAGGGTAGGATGTTTGGAAACCCCTATAGATGATGTATTTGTCTGAGGGAATGTCTTTGCCCCAGGTGCATGGGATTTTCTTCTTTTTAATCTGTTTTCTATTTTTAATGTAAAGCTGCCCAGAATAATACTCGGGTCAAATGACCTCTAAATCTCATAAATAAATATTCTGTCGCTACTCTATTAGAAACACTGCTTACTACAAGAAAGGAGGCCTATGAAATTAGTGTAGGAAAGTTTACATTGGGTGATGGTTGTGTATCAATGAACCCTTATCCCCCTTTTGCCTCTTTCCAAGAACTGTGGAAATCAACAATACCGATGCTGAGGGGCGTCTGGTACTTGCCGACGGCGTCTGCTACGCTTGCAAAGACCTCGGGGCTGACATCATTCTTGACATGGCCACTCTCACAGGTGCTCAGGTACAGGTGGTGAACACATAAATAGCCTTGCTCGCCTCCGTTCTGCTTTAAGCTGAGGATGGGGTGGGGAATCCTTTTGACACCCACCCAAGGGAGATGGTGCGAAGCTCTTCTAAGGGGAAGAAGGATAGAACCAACATCCTGAGAGACTCACCAGAGCTTGAAGCTAAGGTTCTTCCACAAATGCAAAAAAAAGAGTTGTCATTGATCAGGTTACCAAGGGTTAATGTCAAGAGAATAATGGTAGAAGGAAGCTGGGGGAAATTGTTAGTAATATATTTTGCACTGTAAGTAATAATTCATATTCTATCATTCAGAATAACATTGTGAGCTTACTAGTAGTCCTCAATTTACAACCACAATTGGGACTGGAAAATTCATCATGAAGCATTGTGGTCATTAAGTGAGGCACCATGTGACTACGCTCCCAGTTAGATGTAATTTTTGTCTCATTCATTAAGTGAATCCCTGCAGTTGTTACATGAGACATTGTGTGATCGCAATTTGCAATCTTCACTGCTGGCTTCCCCATTGACTTTACTTGTTGGAAGCCAGCTGGGACAGTTGCAAATGACAATCATCTGATCACAGGCACTGCAGCAGTTATAAGTGCAAGGGCTGGTCATAACTCACTTTCTTGAGCTCCATTCTAGCTTTGAATAATCGCTAAATGAATAGTTGTAAGTTGAGGATCAGAGGGATGTGGTGGCTCAGTGGCTAAGACGCTGAGCTTGTCGATCAGAAAGGTCAGCAGTTTGGCAATTCAAATCCCTAGTGCCATGTAACAGAGTGAGCTCCCATTACTTGTCCCAGCTTCTGCCAAACTAGCAGTTCAAAAGCATGTAAAAATGCAAGTAGAAAAATAGGGACCACCTTGGTGGGAAGGTAACAGCGTTCCGTGTGCCTTCGGTGTTTAGTCATGCCGGCCACATGACCACGGAGACGTCTTCGGACAGCACTGGCTCTTCGGCTTTGAAACGGAGATGAGCACCGCCCCCTAGAGTCAGGAATGACTAGCATATACGTATATGTGAGGGGAACCTTTACCTT